TCCTCCCGCCTCCAGGGTATGGCCCAAGAATAATAAAAAGGACCTTTACCTTTCCTTCTTGGTGTTAGCAGTAGATTTATCTCAGTATTCGGTGGCAGAGTTGTAGGTTTCAGGGACGGAGGAACCTCTTCCCTGCTCTGAAAGACCTCTGCAACAGGTTTTCTGCCTGCCTGCGCAGAGGGAGGCTCTGTATGGTAGACACAGGGTTTTGAAATAGGTTTTACTGGATGCCTTTGCATGAAGGAATTTGCTGAAACCTGATCCTGTCTGTAGCTTCTTCTCCAGTCCGTAGGGGTGTCTCGTGTCCCCATTGTCTCATGCGCCTTTGTTTTAAAATAATATTGAGCCTCAGACACCAGCTGATTTACTTTAATTCAACATCCAACTTATGTTTGATTTCTTTTCATATTCAAGTGAGCCATCTGGCTTTAATGAACTGTAACTGTTTTTAATGCTGCCTCCAGTTGCTAACATCTGAATATTTCATGTGCTGAAAGGAGGTTTGAAATGCAGAAGTGAGACTGAAGAGTCCAAAGTATTTCCAAATGAGCTCTGTTCCAGCAGCACTTGTGCTCCCCTCCCCTCGAGATTTATCAAAAGATAATCTTTGGGGTGCCAGACTGTAAGCATCAGCCATGGCGGGTGCTAATTACAAGTACTCTCAATTTTGTGTACATAAAACACCAGAGCTGCTTGTGAAATCCTGAATAACTACCCAACTTGACTTGGGCAGAATATCAATCAACTTCAACAGGAGCTGCCAGTATTTGGCATCTTTTAAATAAACAGCCTCTTTGGTGTTTAATTTTGGGTGGGTTATTTTGTTGTGGGTTTTTTTTTGCGGGGTGGGGTTGTGTCTCAAATATTTCTGTGTTGCAAAAAAAGATGAGGTTAGTTTTACGTCACCTAGTTGAGGTATAGAAGTTAATTGAGAGCTTGATCCCGTAAACTGAAAATACCCTAGTTGCAATTAAATTTTGAGGGTACTTTGCCAGGGCCACGCTATTAGAAACCAGTGGCACATCCCCAGATTTGTTGGCCTACATGCTTCGCTCGGCATTTTTCACAGCGTTGCCTTTGTTTTGGCTTAGCAGTGTGACAGCTGATAGACTTAGGGTAGGCCATTACCAAGAAATATTTTGATTAATGATTAAAAAGTATTTTGTTAGTTATTCACTGTGTGCCAAGCATCAGGTTGCCAGTGATACCATCTTCCAGCATTCCATCGTAAAAGATAGAATGAATGAAAGCTTAGGCTATCAGTCCATCTGCAGGAGGAAAGTCTTCAGAAAGGGTGGGCTGGGAGCACGCGGCTGCGTTAGCTCACCCTGTGCTGCCTTGTCCTGGGAGCGGGGAAGAAATCCATAAGGAACCAGGGGGGATTGGTAGAGATTGGTACCTGTGCTTAACTTCTCAGTTACTTTCTCATAGAGACAGAGCTGAATTGGGAGTTAACTTGTGACCTTGTAGGTATGTGCTGAGCACAGTCTTTGTGAGCTGGAGAGGAGTAGGGTAGAAGCAGTATAGCAGAAATTGGCAGCTGAGTTCTCTTCCAGATGCATTCCTGAAGCTATAACAAATAAAACCGTATTAATATCTTCTACACAGTAGATTTTTGTGGCATTAAGCTACCACTCAATAGAAGCTCTTGATGATACCTCTTGCTGCTCTTTAAAAATTTTCATTACATGTGAGAATAAAAATGTGTAAGTTGGCTGTATTTTTGATTGTACTTGAGAACTTCCTACACCACTGAGCACTGTTGGTGGGTATTTCTTTAATTCTATTCAAGTTTGTTTTATTTGTGTGTGACTGAAGCTACCGGTGTTGTGTGCAGGAGATTTCAGCCAGGCTTTTCAGTGCTTTGCACTGCGATTCCCTAAAATTCATGCCAAAAACTGTAGCTCAGTCTATAGTACAACTTTGGCATCTCGTTTTCAGCTGAAGCGTAACTCGAGTTCGGCTTCACCTGTGTGATGTTGCCAGCTAGCAAGCCTGGATGCTCCACAGACATGCTCAGGAGATTTGCAGCCTGCTACACAGCATTATACAATTAAACCATGGAAATCCTCCACAAAATGGAATTATGGTACTTTGGGAAGGTTTAGGGTTTTCTTTCTCCCTTTTTTTTCTTTCCAAGTTCTCAGTGTCTAAATGGTGGAAGCGTGTCGTGATCAATTTGCTTTGCATGGGCACCGTGGGAGCCTAAAGATACTGCTGACAGCAGGGACAGTGGCACTGCCCTTTCTGGTCCCAGCTGCAGGCGGCCACCCAGTCCTCATGCCTGGGACTGCTGGAGCTGCCTTCTCTGTCCCCCCTGGAAGACCGCTGAGGACTGGGCAGGCAAGCTGAAAAAAGCAATCGCTCTCCCACCTAAACTTCCCTGTAATAGAACTATGTCTTCAAAATACTTGCATTTTTAACGTATAGACAGATTTTCAAAGGAAAAAACATTTTGTTAGAATTTTTCAGACAAGCTGTAATTCACAAGCTGCTTATTTGAATGAGAATACAAATGCAACTGTAGCCTGCAGAAAGCTGCCTAAGGTCTGCTTCCAGTTGTGGTGGGACGGAAGATGCTCTTTCAGAGAGAGAAGGGCTGAATAGTGTCTTAGTCATTTATAGTTACTGTGTATCCAGATGAATTATACCCTCAGAAGTGGAGTCACAGTTGCATCTTTAAAAGCAGTATCGTATTGGAAAAATCTCTCATTTGTGATACCCATTTTGAAGAAAGATTTTTATGTTGCCATCTGTTAGGGAACTTGCATTTCTTATGGGGTTGCCCATGCTGTAGTAGAAAAAAAACCCACTTAAAATAGGTTGGGTTTTTTAACCTTAAAAAAAAAAAAAAAAGACCCTCCCACAAAACCTCTCTAAGGGTTATTGGGTGGTCTCCATAGACACTACAAGTATACAAAATTTAAGACTTTTCAAATGCGTAGGGAGGGCTTCTCTTTTTATACCATAGCTATTCAAAATGTGTTTAGGTGAGAAGTACAACCTGTGTGTTTTAAAAAACTGATTTTTAATCCTCTACGTTATTTCTGGTATCTTGCTTAAAAAGAAAAATCAGGTGCTTCCCAGACGTTCAAGAAGAATGCAAAGGGTATTTGAAGATAAACTTTATTTTTTAAAGAATTTTTAAGCCAATAATCTTGGGTTTGTGCCCCCCTCATGCTACATCTCATTGATTTATATAAAATTGTCAGTCAAAGTGTGATATTAATAAACATGTAACCTAGGCTTTTATTTACTATACAACCTTGCTTTAATGGAGAATTTTATAAGAGAGAAATACTCACAGTGCAGTGCCAGTGCAGTGAACTAGTAGGCTTGCTTTAGACCTGTCCTTCCTGCGTTTCTACCATTAATAATGAAATAATGATTTAATTGCTCATAGGAATAGGTTTGAGAGTTATGGCTTCTCGTCACAAAGTGTTTAGGAGTGTATTTCTGCTCCCTTCTTTTTTTTTTTTTTTTTTCTTTCTTTTTTTAACCTGGTAGGTTTGGGGGGCTTTGGTGGGGGGTTTGGATTGCGTTTGTTTGTTTGTTCTAAGCCTAGTAAGTTAAAAAAAAGACAGGAGTACCTTCAGCTTGCACAACTATAAAACACTCTGTGCACACACTTGTGTAGTAAAATGAAGGTGTGAAAACCAGCCACTTTCAGGGCATTTTTTTGCATGTGCTATTCTCAGATGTTCTGCAGAGCAATAGTTTCTGGTTTAGGGGTAACAAGAGTAAGACATTGAATGGTTCAATCATCTACATTTGTACAGCCTCTGTATTTGTAGGGTGGGCTTGTCAAAACAGACTGCAAAATTTTCTTGGCCCGTTGTCTCCATAACAATTTGGGGCTCTATCGACGAAGAGGAGTATTGAGAGAACAGAGAGGGGCTCTGTCCCTTAGAGATAAACATGATGCTTAAGAAATTTGGATAGTGGAAGGACTCTGTTATGGGTAGGCTGGGGTTCTATCACTTGCTTGTTTTTCTCGTACCACAGGATCACATGTAATGTAGTTAGGAGCAGTGCTCTGCTGATGCACAGGGCTGCTTCTCCTTGAAGAACCATTGGCATGGGTGAAGTCAGTGCAGGCATCTTTTAAGTATACAGAAGGACAGGTGACTACCTGTATTGAATATCTTAAAATATGTTTTACCAGCTAATATGCAGTAAAATGAACTGCCATAAAAACGAGAAAATTTTAAGACAGGTAAAATATTATAAAATGAAATGAAAATCAAGTACATATCTTGGTTGTATCTTGGTATACAGAGTATTTTTTTTTCCACTTATATGAGACAACATTTTGGTAATAAATGAGCTACTGTGTCACAGCAAAACAGTTTCACTGGTGTCTTCAAGTCCTATTAAAGTGATGAAGTGATGGCTCCTTGGTTGTACTGTTAAGAATCTAGTAAGTTTAAAATGTGTATATATATTTAAATTTGTCTTATAGCTGTTCAAGACCAGAGTTGCAAATCTGCTGAGTGCTTGTGAAAAGCAAACGGGTAAAATACTGGAAACCCACAGCCTGAGCAGACGATTTGTAAGGATTATTGTGCTCTTGCTTTGCTAGATCAGCTTGGCTTTCTTGAGCTTGGACATTTTCGTTGGTCCAGGTGGCAAAGGAGCTGGATTCCTGCTTTGTCTTGTTCCTAAGCCATGACTTGGTTAGTTCCCTGCTTCTTTAGCCTTGTGAAGGGTTGAAGGAGCTTTTGAGAGGGGTGGATTTCTTGGGGGACTGAAGAGATGTTAAAACTCAGCTTTGTAATTGGCTGATTTAGGAAATTTATTTTTTTCTAGAATCACTTTGGTCTGCAGATGAGGGGTGTAGAATAACTAAACATACATAAACACAGTGAGATGCCCTTGTTTGCTCTAAGGTTTTTGCCTTATTGCTGGAGTAATGTTTTTAATGTATCTTAAAGTAGTTAAAATCCAATAAAGATTTTCTTATCAGTTGTTCCTTTCATTTTTTTTTTCAGAATCCTTCTTGAATGTCCTGGCTGCCAGTAGAATCGAAGGCAGGAGGCAACTCATGACCACCAAACCGTGACAGCCTCAGATTCCCCTGCTTCTGGCTGCTCAAAATAACTACTGGGCTACTGTGGAGATGAATGGAGAACAGCAGTATGATGCAGGTAATAGGCTGGCTGAACTCCCTGACTAACAATTCTCAAAAAACTTGGCAAGCAAGATGGAACAAAGATGAGCACAGTGAATGTTTCATACTGCATGTGTCTGATGCTGTGTACTGTATACAGGGAGAAACTCAAATGTCGATGACTGTAGGTTAGAGTCTGGCTACGAGGCTTACGTTTGTTATTGCTGTATTTCAAAAGCAAGGTGTTATCATTGCCTTAAAGGAGAACAAAATCTCACCCACCTTAGTAATTGTGTTTTTAAGAAGCTGTGTCTTTCTTCTTTGTAGTATCATTATGTGATGGGCTTGTGAAAAGCTCAGTGGCTTTAACGCTGCTATTTTAAGGCATTTGTCTGTCAAACTGGTTAATATTATCTTGTCCTTTCCTCGTGTTCATCTTCTTCGTAATATTTCAACAACGTTGTGCTGCTGGTTTAGAAGTTGGATAACTGAAGCTGTTTGCTGCCATTGTAGTCTGTCCTGTTTTTTCTGATGTGCGTTGGTGTGCCTGCTTTGATGGGTTTGGGATATCAACTCCAAACTGCTGCAGAGTGATACTTTATGATAAATTAGTTTAGGTTTTGGTTCACCTTGAAACACGAGGCTGAGAAAGTGGGTGGTTGGTCTGGGATGGCTGAGGATAACAACAGCTTTCTGAAACAGTTCTGGGATTGTAAGTTCTTAGCAGGTAGAGGCCATCCATTTTTCTGACTTGCCTGCCATGGTTTGTTCCTTTTCCTTGAGGAAAACACCTATAGTGTTGGTACAGTTAATATAAAGTAAATTTTAGTTTGTGATTTCCAGCGTAGACAGTTGGATTAGGATTTTATTTGAGCATTACTTTCCTTTGGTACTTGTCCAACAGGCAGCTCTTGTCATAGGACAATTCACTATTGGTAGTTTTTGTACCTTTGCTTTGTGGAAGTCTAATTGCTGTCGATGTTACCAAAGAAATGTTAAACATGATTTGAATCTGCAGTGTTTTTAGCAGAATGCTATCATCTGCTTTATGTTGCTGAAATATGCTTTTTGATTATTAATTATAGCCAATCACTCAAGTTGTTGTCAATGTTATATCCTCAAATAAGCAAGAAAAAGCAGCACGCACAAGTATGCAGAATGTCTCCAGGCACATGTTAATAGAGTTTCCTCTGCTACAGGAGACTGCCAACTTCTGTCATGTAGTGTAAGAAAGAGAAAGGGCGTTGAGCAGCTGAGAAGAACTGTAAGGAGATGTATACGTGGTCAGTGATGGGTTGGTCAGAGTCTGATAGCACATCTCTCTGTACTAAAACCTTTACTGAAATTTTTCCATCTTCCTCAAAAAGTTTCAGAGGTCACACACTCCTTTCGATGTGCTTTAGGAATAGCTAGGAAGGGTTTGATATTGTCTTGAAATTACTCAACAGCTATTTTCCTGAGAATCCTTTTTGTGCCTGCTTTGAGTACAGGTGGCTGTGAAAAGCCAACAATAACTGAAGAGAGCTTTGCTTGCTGAGTTCAAAGATAGTTTCCAGGAAATGCTACCCATGTAACATAAGCACATTGGTTTTGTTGTGCCCTCTAATATTGTTTCCTGATGTGCTTTGAGTTAGACCAGTCCCAACCCCTACTGGAACATTCCCTTCATATTCTTTGACTGGTCTCATTTTTTTCATTTGATGATTTTTAGCAGTTTTTGGAGATTTCCCCTTGTCTTTTTGGTTTTTATATCCTGGCGTTCCGCCTGCAAGAACCCAGAGACTGGTCAGAGTTGTTGGTTGTGATTCTGTCCTGCACTGTAAGGGGAAAAGACAACTTTCATTCTTGTCACAGTCTTCTCAGCTGCTGAAATTCCAAACTGTCTTTATTTATTCATGGCCTTGCAGCTGGTGTAGATGGAAAAGATTAACTGATATTAAAATCAGATTGAAATGTATCTAAGTTTCAGGGTGAGAAACCTTTAGGTTAGCCATAATTGAAGGTCTTGCAGACTTCAGTGTGATGTACTTAAATGTCCAATATGACAGTCTTCAACTAAATCACATTAAAGATGCATGAAAATGATTTGCAGTGAGAATTTAACTCAAATCCAAAGATCAAAACAGTCTGGTGTAGACTGCTTCCGTTGCAAGTATTTTTAAGGGCTACTATCCTTAATATTTCACTACCTTCTTGTATCCAAATGGGTACGATTCAGTATTCTTTCTCTTCCTGTATGTATCAGAGAGCACCAGGACATAATTCATGTTAAATTCATGGTAAAATTCAGAAAGGAAGAGTTAGCGTTCAGAATAAGGTTAGTAGAAATAGTGATAAATGGGAAATGATGTACCTACCTAGGAAACTTCTAGTATTCTTACAGAGAATTTTCTCACCTCCAGAGTGGGTAAGCATTCTCCACAGAACCTCTGTGGATCACTTCTCGGATTTTACTTGAGAAAATTTTCGTTAGCTTGACTTGAAACCAAAACCTAGTTGTATGGTGAGGCCACAGAGATGAGAAACGCATATGGTTTCTTTCCCTGCCTTTGCCAAAGTTGTGCTTTGCCACTGAGCTAATGCGTGGCTCGACCTGTCTGCTATAGAAAAAGATGTCTCCATGTAGTAAAAAGTTGAATTCAAGCAGGGCTTGTAGCATTTCTATTCAATTAAGGATACGGGGAGAAAGAAGAAACGTAAGTGTATGTACACCCATGCATTACATTAATAAATTGTGCTTTAGGGTTAAATGGATTAAATATGGGTGTTGTCATCTGTCATATTAGTTTGCAAGTTTTCTCACAGTAGAAGTGAATTTCTAGTGTAAATGCCTGAGGTTTTATTGGGTAGTTTGAACTCAGACTGATCAGGACGTTTAATACAGACATATGGCCCCTCAGGAATGCAGCTTCATTAAACCGGTCCCCTCTGTGTCCCGGGATCTGTTAACCCACGAGGATGGTGCTGTGCTGTAGGGTCTTGCAGAAAATGCCAGCAGACTAGATCAAAGGCTTGATTTAAACAGGGCCTGCGCTGCTGCAGCTATCCTGCCGATAAAACCAGAAAAGCGACCGGATTCTGACTCTCAAAGATTTCCAGCTAGCGCGAGCCTTACCAGAGAGACGGTCCTTCAGTGTGCTCTTGGAGTGTTTCTGCATTTAGGTATTGAAAAACAGATACTTGATTTCTGAGATTTTTTCATGGTTTATGTAGTCCTATCGCATGCCACAATTAAAAAACTGATTTACTGCTCTCGCTATGAAACCTCGTACAGCGGTTTTGCTTGGAGCTTTATTCAGTGAGCTTTTAATGTTCCACACTGACTCAGGAAGTGCTGCACTAAATACCCTGGAATGCTGTGGCAGCATCGGGTGTGAGAAGCAGCAGATAGATTTGTTGAATCCTGTAGCTTAGCACGGCCCTCGGCCATGTCAGCCTCCTAAGGGAGGGAAAGCACCTGAACGCCCCGGCTCTGTGCGCTCAGTGCAAGGCTGATCGCCTAATCTCATTTAATTGTAAAACCTTCGTTAAGTGTAAATGCAAGCTGAGTTGAACTCTTACGAATGAACAGAACAGCAAGCGTTCTGGGTGCTTTTTTAAAGAAGTTTAAAAAATATCCCTCTGACTTGACGAAACTCCCTAGAATAGAGTAGGAATAGTATTAAATTTGCAATGAGTGTTGCACAGGAATTTGTAATTTTTTTAAATTATTTTTATTTTTCTATGAAAAATGGGTTGCAGGAGAGCTTTTGGGTGTGCTGGTGAGATTTGGGCACCATACGGTACAAAGCAATCCGAGCCCTTCTTACTGCAGCAAAGATCTGGAAGGAAACGGCTCTTTTCGATATGAAAACATCCAGGCTGCAGAGACCATGGATTAGTGGAGTGACAAAGGACCACTGGTAACTCTGATCCAGTTGGGAACCGGTTTTAACCGTAGTTAGAGGCAAAAGGGTGGCTGGAGCGGCACGCAAACTGGCTTTCTCGGGAGCTCCTTGTAGCAATTAAGTGGCAACATAAGTTACTAATTGACCCTTTCAGTGTGTTAAGTGACCTGTGCCTCATTTAAGGAGCTTAACTGCCCCTTAGGCAGTTATCTGATGATAACACGTTATTGAAGACTCGGTGCTGCAAGCGGCTTGGTAAAGAGCACGGCTGGAAAGCCTCAAGATCCGGGTAGTATTCCCAGGTCGAGCTACTTGGCTTTCAAACTTGTTAAAAAGCACAGAGCAGTCACGTTGCTTTATGTTTCCCTTCGAACAGGAATGCATTAGACATCGCAAGCAGTGCTTTTTACATACAAAGTGCTTTTTGGAGTTGGGTGAAAGTGGGGTTGTTGCTGCTGTTGAGCAGCCGGGTGCTGTGCGGTGGGAAAGGGCAAGCTGCCTTTCTCCAAGCGGGAGAAAAATTAGTCAAAGTTCGCTCTTGGTTTCGACTGACCATAGACGTTGAGTTCAAGCTGATGTTCCTTCCGCTTTGGTTCTGCCCCTGGGAACTTGAGCATTTTTATGGTTAAAGTGAAATGCTGTTTTAACGAGTTAAGAAATCTTATTCTGTTTTAGCAACACTTTGCGATGAAACTATATTTTTCTTAGAATGAGTTGCAGCCAAAGCTTTCATTAGCTCCCCCCTAATTTGCAAACAGCTGTGCTCTGTGCCTCTTTACTCTGCGCCTCTCTCTACTCCCTCAAAATTTTTGTAAATAAAATTACTTACTTCTGTGCTTTTCTAGGTGTATTTCTTTCTAAGTTAAAAATTGTCCCCTAAAAGTGATGGTGATATTCAAGCTCTGAATTTTTTGAGCTCTGGGGCTTAGGAAAGGCCAATATAACCAACTGTGGTTGTTTAAAAATAGCAAAATGAAATTGGGTTTGGGAGAGATAAGAGCTGCCTTTAAAACAGATACTGTCATCAGCAAACAAAAGCTAACTGAATATGCATTTCTAGATTTGGGGAAATGATAATTCCTAGAATTACAATGAAAAGTCGAAGATGAGCTTAACAATCAGTTTGAAGAGGAAATGTACCTACTTTATGCTCAGGACTTCTAGGCTTTTTTAGACAATTTAAAGTATGTGATTTTTTTTTTTTTTCTGGGCAAATATTTGCCCCTCTCTGTTTGAGGACTAAGAACAGTTGTGGAGCGTACTTAGCATGTTGTCAGCGTGTCCAAGGGTCTGATAAGGGCATGTAATAGTATTTCATTCTTTTTTTTTTTTTTTTTGACACGTAAAGTTTCCGACTCAAACTACTTCTGCTTGAAAGAACGGTTACCACCTGTCCTAAGAAAGGCTGGGTGTGTAGGAAATGGTGTCCCGAAACCTTCGCTGAGCTCTCCCCCGGCTTTGATACACAGAGATTTCTCTGTTTGCCAACGTAAACAAAGTATCAGGTTTCCTGGTACTGAGAGATGAAAATCTCCTGTGTTCATTCATAAAGACAGCTCTGGTGTAGATGGTAGATTTGGTCTAAAAGTGAAAATGAAAAGCTTTACTTTTATGTCACATCACTGCCGTCCCTTTCG